AACATGATGTGGAGGCCTGCGAGGGGGAAGAAATACGGGACAGCACGAGCACTGCCGCCCTGGTGTCCTGCTGCCTGCACGCACAGGCATATCTGCAGCAAGGTGCACTGGAGGCAGATCGCCAGAGCTGAGGTTATGGCACAGCCTGGAACCACGCTGCGTAGCTCAAACGTTTCCAGATCTTGCCTGGCCTTGGTACACCATAACCAAGACAGGAGGGGTTTTTTGTGCTTGGTCTGTCCTGCCACTCTGTGTTGGTGGAGCCCTGCTGTGAGCAGACTCTCATTTTGGTATGGATTCTGAAGCTTTACTGCAAAACAAATGACACATACTAATACAACGTCACCTGCAGAGAAGGAGGGCTATGTACAGCACACAGAGACGGCAGTTTGAGCTGCTTCGTTGTCCGCAAACAGAACAGAGAAATGCATTTGAGTTCACAACAATCAAAATTGTGGTTATATTTACATGCATTTTCATATGGCAGTATTTTCAAAGGAAAGGTATTGTACAGGAAAAGTTGGTAGACTCATGACCAGCTTCAGATTGTTCCAAACCTAAATATTATACAGTGACTTGAGCAAAATAATCTCTAATACTGGTACAATGCTCACTTCAAGAGAAGGAACAGAGAGCTGTTGCACTGCAGTCACAACCACTTTTGATCTGGGATCTTCTTAAACTGTGAGTGTGGTGAGAAAAGAGAGAGGTGGGCAATTGGCTACAGATGTGACAGATAGGGTGGCGGTATGCAGGAGTCATCCTCTGCTTCTTGGCTCTGAGGGGATGGAGAGGGGAGAGCTGCTGGGTGGGGTGGGGAGCCCCGGCCGTGCTGGGGGCAATGCTGGTGGATGAAGGGTCACGGCTGCCAGGTAGCTGTTGCCAAATGGGATGTGTGTCCCCCGGCAGCACAGTCAGCTCTGTGAGGACAATCTGCATCTAAAAGCGCCGTGGCCGCTGGAAAAGCCCTCCTTGGGCAGCACATTTCAGTGCTCGAGTGCTCCTGCCCCACAGGCTCTTCTGCCCTCTGCATGGATGTGTTTCATTTTTAGATAGTGCCCTGCCTCTCCGAAAACCAGCTCTGCCTGTCAGAACTCTCCTTTCCCTGGCTAGCGTGCTGATGTCTGTCACTGAAGTATGGAAGATCTTTCCAAAACCAGTGTGATGAAAATACCTGGGTGCTACAGGAGCTCTTCCTGCTCCACTTGATTCTTGGCAAAACCTTACAAAATCTTCAGTGGTTTTGATGTGTTCACGAAAGAGAAGCAGGTTTCATCTGATGTTGTTTGCTGAGGCCTGGCTCCCCTTTCTCCCCAAGTCAGGGTCCAGGATCAGCCCATGGAGGCCCATGGAGTTGCACAGCGGGTGGAAGGAGGCTCTGAGATGGTCCAGACAGAGAGACCCAGCAGGCACCTGGAGGGTCCAGCTCCCCGTGGCAGCCAGCTGACAGGCTGATGCTGAACAGGTGCTTTCGGACTTGTCACCCCAGCTGAGGGACCCCTCAGAGACGCTGGCAGAGCTACAGGACACTGATCATCATCCCTGGAGACTGGGGACCTGAACCACCTGGCCCTGGCAGCCCCCAGTCCCCCTAGGCACGGAGCGGGGCATGCTGCGGGAGCTGCTCGCTGGAGTGCAGAAACACCCAGTGTGCCCAGGGCCGCTCTTCAGCTGGTCTCACACCCGTGCCCAGGGGCAGCAGGGGACCCCCAGCCCTTCCTGTGCCTGTGCCAGGTGCTGCGCCAAGCCACACCGGCAGCGGGGCTCCAACCACCCCAACAGCCTCTGCCCCCATCCAGACTGGTGGGAGCAAGGCAGGCTCCAGCCTCTCTCAGTGTCTGGGCACTGAACGGGACAGTGATGGGGACAAAATGGCATAGCCGAGGGGCCGGAGCACCCTTGTCCCCCCAGCTGCAGGACGGCAGCGCTGACTTCTGCCTCATCCCCCCTTTAGACTTCCATCCGCAGGGATCAGTGCTCCATGCACACGGGTGAACAGCGGTACCCAAAGCTAGCAAAGCACTGCTTGTTAGCTGTGCTCCTGAATGGCATCAAACCTTTCTGAGAAATACGGATAAACTGAGTTAGCGCTGAGCAGCAGAGCCTGTCTCCAGCTTGTTCTGGTGTGAAAACCAGTATACATTGATGGAAAGCAATGCAGATGTGAGCAGAGACAAGCCGATCACGTTCCAGATCATAACAGTCAGGTTTGGCAAAGGCATCTTTTTTTTTTTTTTTCTTTATTTTGTTTGGGTTTATTTTGTTCCTTTAAAAATTTTCTTTATTGTTTTCCTCGTCGACTTTATATTTTGTGGTCTGAGCTCCTCACTGACACTTTCATGTAAAAGCTTCAGGACAAATTCTGCTTCAGAGCTGTCAGACGTCTGCAATAGCTGTGTGGAAATCAATGCGGTTACTCTGCACACACACATCTCCAGAATAGGGCCCTTTATTTCACGACATCTATCTCACCTGTGCAGAAGGAAACATCAGGTATTTCTCACACTAAATTCATCAGGTCTCATCACAACAGAGGGACTCAAAGTATCAGAGACACTGGGCCAATTAGCAGATTAAAGGTTTCCATATCGAATACATCTGTGCTATAGTGATGCCGTTTTTAAACAGAGAGAATTGAAAATAATGCAAAACATCTTTACTTCTCTTAGCCAGGACCCAGGGGCCTAAGTCCCATCTTCCAGTTATTTTGAAATTTTTCTTTTTTCCAACATAGGCCATGATCCAGCAGAGCCCTTAGGAACATGCTTTAAGATTCTGAATAATTGCTGTGTAATTGTATCTCGGGGCGTGTAAGTGCCCTTTTGAATCGAGGCCAGAGTCTTTAACTCCAAAATGAATACACAGTTTCCAGCATCAGAAGTGAGTTGGTGAGTTCAGTTAATAAGGAGGAATTTTATCTTTCAAAGTGCTTTGTCACATTCCATGCAAAGTACTGAAGCAACGATGACTTGACCACTTATTTTGCAGCTATGCACAGTAAACCTCTGTGCCCGAGGCATAGATAGATCACTGCTGTACCACACCAGAAAACCTCAAATTTCCACCAGTGGGGTTCAACGCACAAAACTGCACCCTTCCCGCCCGTGAAACCTGAAGAGGTCTGCTCCAAGACACGTGAAATTTTATGAACGCTCCAACTTCGGGCAGCGACCAACTCTAGTGCTGATGACAGAAAAATAACTAAATAGATCTGATGTCCCTATGGTGAAGAAAGTCTCTTCTTGCCCTATGGGCAGTGTGGTGGCGCAGAAGACAACATCCCAAAGACAACGCTGTACTTCCCCCATCTCTCATCTGAGGCCACTGACGTGTTTGTAACAGAAAATACCATCGATGTTCCCATCTGCTAGGTACCTGCTGTGCTCTTCTCATGGGTGGCTGCGCTTCAGTGGAGCATAAAAGCATCTCTCTCCTTCCCCGGCGCAACGTGCAAGGCTTCACGTAAGATGCTTTGAGATCCTCAGCTGGCAGGTGGCAGGAACGATTAGTCCGATTATCTGCCATAGCGCCCTGACCACCCAAAACGACCCGCACGCTCCCCGAGTCAAATGGCAATGAGTGTTAGAAGGTGCGTTACAAACAGATGGGTGTTATGGGGTCCCTCAGGAGGAAGGTTGGGGGTGACTGGTGGAATCATCAAATGAAAGATCAAGACAACCGTCAGCAGACATACATATATAATATGTACAGTGGCCATAGATGCATTTGCACCATGAAGGAAATTATCAAAGTTTAGACAGTGGAAAATGATCAAATTCCAGATTTTTTTTGTGCCAGGTGTCCCTGTCTAACTTGCTATTAAAAAGAGCAGGAAATGTCCAACTGTGGGTTAAATGAAGTGCTGCAGCTCTCAGATGTGGTATTATTTCTTCACTCCGTTTCAGACAAGAAATGCAGAAGTATTCTCATATTTTGCACTACGTGCTGTGGGCAGAAAATTATCTCAGTAGTGTTTGGTTTGGTTTGTACCTTTTCTCTCACTCTCTTCAGCTTTTCTAATAGAGCCACCAGTATCAAAATACAGAGCTGAAGTACAAGCCTGAATTTAGTAAGCAGAAAATCCCAAGCCTCTCTGTAGGGATTACACGGTTCAGGCTCAGCAGACTGAGATAAGGCTGTGCAAGGAAAGCCCTGAACCTACCTAAACACTCTCCATGTGGTTTTCAGTCCGTGGTCTGTGGATTTTTACAAGTCTGTGGAGTACTGTTAAGATATCTCCAAAATGCATCTAAGAAAATTAAGCCCATTACCACTAAGCTTAAATTTACTTCTGTAAGAAAACTGCTGGGGGGTGCACAAGTTGTTAAGAAGTTGAAAACCATCACTCCGGTTACAAAATCGGACTGCCAGTGAGTCTACACAGTGACTCGATTCAAAATATTTACTCCCGAAATTCAAGGGATGTAGTGGTGTGAGAAAAGGAACTAACACAGGAGGCTGCATGCTGGTAAAAACCAGCTGACCCATACAGAGCGTGAAAGGACTCCCTGATATTCCAGCTACGGGCACCTACAAACACTACACAGTACAGCCTCTGTACTGATTACTGGCTTACACAAGAGGCAAAGGACGAACTTGGAAAAGACAGGGAGATGAAGATGACAGCATCACCATCACCTGTTTTTCCCTTTGCTGATGTTCCTGCTCACTAAAATTCAGATGCTGGCTAGAACTGGGCTTTTGAAAAGACTGAAATTATTAGTAGACTCTGCCAAAAGAAAAGTGTGTTCCCTGCATTGCTGTTACAAGGACTGGGCTGCTTGCAATTCAAATAATTTCGAAAGAAAAGGAAAAAAGTCAGAGCACTGGATGTTGGTGCTGCTAACCCCTCTGGTGTCATCCTGGGTGGGGAATGCAGAAAGTCCACTCAGCAGTGTGTACGTGAGGCTCCCGCCCTGGGGATGGAGACGGGGCCGTTTCAGAACATGCACATCGGTTGGGTTGGTTGGTCTAAGCCTCAACAAGTCATCTGGGAGGTGCTACAATATTGTGGCTCCGGCAGCATCCATGCTCCTGGGGTCCTTCAGGCCAATGATGAAACTATTGGTTCTCCTGGCCCCATGAACGAGGGAGACCACTTTGACTTTATCCACTTGATGGCCCCTGGCTACAAGAAATGCAATATCTTCTTCAGGAAACTCACCTGTAGGGATTTTAAAAGAGGAGTTTGTAACTGAAACCACTGTTGCCTTTGATGCAAAGCTTTGTTCTAACCCTGTTGGGATCTGCAGCGTGAAGAAAACTGCCTGCAGCCTCTCCAGAAGGTGTCCCAGCTCGGGCGAGCCCAGCAGCCAGGGAGGACCAGCACTCACCGCTCCGAGGAGCAGTCTTTCAGCTCGCAGCAGCAAAGGCTGTTCAGAGCTGGGCAGCGCTCTGTGTGTTGGGGGAAATGAGAGGATCCAGAAGACCATTTAAAGATGTGGAAAGATCCTCCTCTTTGGAAAAATGGGAAAATACGTTGTTGGCACCTATTGTAGTTACTCTTCTCACAGAACGTGAGGCAGTCCTTGCTCTTAAGAGCTTAGTTACAAATAATAGTATTAACAGTTATTAGTCAAAACAAGATGCAAGGCAGCTCAAAACAAGTCGCCAAATGACAAACTTTGTGACAAGCCTTCCATCCTTCCCTTCTCGTATTTCTTAATCGTCCATCCATCTACCTTAGGTTGCTTGCTCTTCTGCTTTTGTTTATTTGAGGGGTTTTTAACTTGTTTATGAACAGAAGTGCCTGAGGGTACAAAGCTGGGGATACAGCTGGACAAACTGAGCAGGCACACAGAAACCTCACAGTTATTTAAGGTATATACATTGCAGATGTGTCTTAACATATATCTTGTTGATGACAAATGTCCAAACCCACAAATTAGGACCTTTCGAGGTTCTTGCATTCTAGTTTCCAAGTCTGCAGGTCACACTCGACAGACATTTTTAGATTTTCCTCTGAGATGGGAAGGCCCAGCAACTTCAGCTAATTTTGTGAAATGAGAACCAAATTTCACTTATCGTTCACTCTGATAAGGCATAAGGCTTTGTGAAAAACACCAAATAGACCAAGACTGGTAACAACAAGGAGAAGAGCTGGCAGTACAGTCTCTAGCAGCACTGATGCCGCATTGCAGCACTGTCAAGGTACAAGCCTTGCCATAAGACACGTCTTCTCCCCAGCTGGTGGAGTTAAGGGACATGGACTGGAAAGTGAAAGAATATCATTTATGGCAGTGGTAATAAGGTGTAGGAAGATCTGCTAGCTTTCAGGACCTGTCTGGATGGAGCTGTGGTTGCAACCTTGTTTATTTTGGCATCATTTAAGGGCAGGACAAGGCTGCTACCAGGAGGTGAGCTGGAACAGAGAGGGTTGGGGAGAAGCACCTGAAAGAGTTTGGACAGGTGGTGTTGGTGAGGCCAGGGAGCATTCCCAAGACAAGAGGGAAAGGGCATGGCTCAGCAAGGGCTCCAAGCTTTGAAGAAGCTAGCTTGCTGCTTTTTGGCTTCCCCAAAACCCTCCACACCCACTGGGGACCCTAGAACACGGTGAGCTGTGCACTGGGCTGTCGCACTTCCACAGCAGTGTGCTGAGAAAACCCTGCTCCTTTTCTAAACCCGCTAGATTTGTAGGCTGCCCCACACCCAGTGTCCATACTCACTGTCAACCTGCAAGGTGTTGGACTGAAGCTGTGGGTGCAGCCGGCCAAGTGACAAACTTTCACTCAGATTCTTGTTAAATGTTAAAACATTCACCAAAACCTGCAAGAGAATGAAAGAGCCTCAATAATAAAATAAAGTAATGAGAACAGGAGAAGCCAACTTCCCGAGCACCCCACTAATTGGTGGATCCAACTTCTGCAGATGGAGCAGGCAAAGAAGATTTTGAACCGTTTACCAAACTACATGAACTAATGCAGAGTTCTGCACATACAAAGAGGCCCTTGAAATATGGCCTGTACGTTGTTGGTGGAAAAGCAGTACCTTTTCAGGATTGCATGAGCTTTTTGTCACATAGTTCCTGCTAAATTAGGAGAGTTGTGCATCTGAAACATGATGTAATCACTAAATACGTGTTTGTTACAGCCAAAAGCTCAGCACGTGACTTCTCCAAACAAAGCATTAGGAAGCAATGGTCGGCTTTAGTTTTGCTTTGAATAATGCCTTCCAACAGGTAAGGAAAATGGGAGCCGTTCTTGTGGTGCCTTTCTTTTTAGCAATCCATCGCTACCGTGCATGCAATCAAGCTGTTGGCAAGTACTTCACCTCATTACGAATCACACATTAGGAGGAGCTGCCCAATTTATAGCAAGTGCTGAGCAGGAAGGAATCCAGTCGGGAATGCACTAAAAAGGAACTTTTCACAGGGAAAAGGGCTAAAGGGCTCCTAGTCTCCTGCTATTCTCTGAATACAAAATGCTCCTTTTTTTCCCTAATGATCCTTAAGACAAGCTTTGAAGAGGTATTAAAATGACACAAAGCCATTATATATTTTTCCAAGATGCTTTTCCTCTATAATTATGAGCAGTGCCACCAGGAAAGGTGCAAGAGAAGTAAACCAGTAGCTCTTAGAGATTTGAAAAACCAAATGCGTGGAACTAGTGACATCAAAGACTGAACTGGTAATCCTGTGGCCCCCCAGTTTCAACACAGCTTGGAACAGTAGGAAGGGAAAGCCTGTCCTGCAGGAGGGGTCTCTGCTCAGCATTGAGCTCAACAGCTGCTCTGAGAGGTGGGTGCCCGGACACAGCACTGACCTGAACGATGCTGCTCAAGGCTTTGTCCCCATTGTTAGCTCCCAGACATAGGTACGTCCCGCACAGCCCCTCGGACGGCCTCACGATGGTGGGCAACAGGAAAGACAGGGGCCGTTTCCGAGGCTGAATGAGATTTTGCTGCAGTTGAAGAAAAGACACACCAAAAAATTTCAACGAGCTGACTAAAGCTTTGCTGGTGCTCAGGTTACTCTTTATGCTGCAGCCAGCAATTGCACTTGTGTAGTTTCACAAGGCTGACACCCTCACTGCTATGACAGTGTGCTCTGATGTTGACTGGATCTGTCCCGTTTCACACCGTGGCGCTCTCTTACAGAAGCTGTACGGAGCCATTCACCCACTTCTAAAGCAGCAACCCAGCAAAGTGGAATGGTTTTACAATACATGGCAAGAAGAAACAAGGCAGCACTGGAAGCCAGCAGTACTGGTCTATAGCTGTTTCTTTCTAAGACTTGAAGATTACTTTCTGCTCTCTGTTACTTTTAAACCTCCAGAGCAGTGGAGAGTCCTTAATTCAAGTCCACAGAGGATGGTTGCTTTAAAGTGCACCTGGACTGCAGGGAAAATACACAGCTGAGATGGGCAGTCTCGTTTCATAAAACTGCATTATAAGAACTCATATGCATGAAGCCTTCTGTTTACCCTGTTTCAGTGGCTCATATAATGAAAAAACAGGAGCTTTCTACAGACTGTTGTCTCACAGTTATTAATAAGGCATTAAATAGCCTCCCTGTTGTGGAGATGAGAATAAAATTGAAAAAAATGGTACCGACAGTTCCAATAAAGAATTTGTCATGTCATTCATTACCGGCCTGGGAATGGAGTGGTTCATTGTTTTATTTTGCCAGGAGAAGTCCAACATCTGGCTGTTCAGGAGGACTCCAGAGGGTGTTATTATTCCACTGCCAAAGGGACGATTCAAAGAACTGAAAAGAAACACGAAGAAATCTTGTCAAAATCCTCCCAGAGATTTTTGTACACCTCAAGACTTTCAGGGCTCAGATTTGCTGTCCCATCTTGGCTTGACAGAGACTCTTTGGTAGTTCTTTAGTGCTGGTTAGATGTGAGCAGTGAAAGTCTCCAGGTACTTTGGAGCAGTAACCACGTGGGCGACAGCAGCTCTGTCCCTCCCTGTGTTTAAGAATTACCCTCTAGGTGATGGATCTGTCTTCACGTCCCCATCAGTCCTCAAATTTGGCCATCACTTCTTCTCCAGGGAGCAGATTTAGGCCAATCCAGACATGTTTCACTGTGAGAGAGCTGTAGGATTGCACAGGGCAGAGCAGCACCAGCTCACACATCTCCACCCTGTCTTCCCTATTTCTCCTGTGGCAGGACTGACTGGGACAGAGCAGCACAGCTGCTCCACGTCTAGTCCCACCCTGTCCGGCTGAACCTGCTTTCTTCTCCCCGTTCCCACTCTCTGATCACATTATGGAGGGAAGAAGCAAATCCTTTACCTCACAACCGCAACAATGAAGTCATCGGGGCCCATGACAAGGACCTGACTAGCAGCAGGTCCGCTTTCCACAGAGAAGTGAGGCACACGGAGATCAGATGAGAAGGACTGGGAGTCATTAATCAGCTGGCGCAGGGAATTGGCTTCTGATTTACTTCAGCAACGAGGGAGGGGAAGAGGAAAGCAAGCCATGAGCCTAGGAAGCCGAACGTCTCTTGGTCTCTCTGTGGGGGTGTATCTTGCACAGCTACTGACAGTGTCTCCCTGAGGGGGCTGGCACTGAGGACAGGAAGCTCCTGCGGTTCACCCAATGGAAGGAGACAAGACGGCTCAGTCCACACAGACAGGCCACACCACGGACCTCCCAGGCTCTGTCTACAGTGGTAAACTCACCCCCAATGGACAAGGGGTGACACCGCCCAGCTGAATGCCAGTCCTCCAGGAGGAGGGCAAGTCAGGTCTGGCTCTGGCCACCAACCGTGGCTAAACCTGGCTCTGAGGTGGGAGGTTGGGCTGAAACCCCAGGCCTGGCCTCTCCCGCACGTCTGGGTGGACTGCAAAGGCACCGAGCCTGATGGTGGGGAAGGGAGAGCCAGGAACTGCACGTGTGGTCATGACCATGTGGATGGCCATTTGTCCGACCTGCTGAGAAGGAATATTTAGAGGGGTGAGAAAGTGGGAGGAACCCTCAAGATCAAGCTGGCTCCAGGAAATCTCTGTGTGAGGACATGCCATGACCCATCCCCGGAGCCCCATGGTATTAGCAGCTGAGATCGTTGTGGATGAGTGAGCCCTAGGAGGACACTCGAGGACTGACCTTTCCTCAGTAAAACAGAGGCAGAAAAACCTCAGGTTTCTCTGTGCACTGAAAAGAGTGCATCCAGGAACAACATCCAAACCACATATCCTGCAACTGCCACCGTGCCTGCAACTGCCACCGTGCCTGTCAGCCTCAGACCTACCTCATCATGTCTTCTGCAGTGCGAGTGATGGACACATCATCAGATGGGTCTCCCAGGTTGCTAGTTAGACTCAGGGCTATTTTTAATGTCTAAATTGGAAATGAAAGAAAGGAAGGGAGGGAAGGAAGGGAAGGAAGGGAGGGAGGGAGGGGGGGAGGAAGGAAGGGAGGGAGACTGGAAGGAAGGGAGGGAGGGAGGGAGGAAGAAAGAAAGGAAGGAAGAAAGAAAGAAAGAAAAGAAAGAAAAGAAAGAAAATAAAAACATTTAGGTGGCCCTGGAAATATAACTTGATACTCCAAACAGGAAGAGGTATGTGATCTCCTGGCATGTTGGCTAAGGCCTATGAAGAAAAACATCTAAAAGCCTGGTCCTGGGAACACCTCAGTGCAAAGGGCTGCCACATGTGGGTATGGGGACTGAGCGGCACCAGTTTGGCTGGGCAAACTGTGTGCTGGGGGAGCCAAGCATATCCAGCAGCATTTGTACAAGGTGGAACATGCGTGGCAGGAGCTGACCAGCTGGCTCAGCCCAGCTCAGTGGTTCAGCTGCATTGCCAGCTGGCAGACAGGGTCACCAGCATGCCACTTATTTTCTATTTCCATTCCTGAGTGGTCACCACAGCAGAGATCATACTGAACCCCAGTGGGACAGTGGGTCCTGGGCTTGCCATTGCCTCTGAACAGCAGCTCCATGGCACAGCACCATTGCTGAGCAGAAACGAGCTGTTCTGCTCACCAGCAGCTCCTCATGTTCTTAGTTGTAAGTAATACAAAGTGTTTGAACAGAAAGTGTTAGTCCCAGCACACTTAAGGGAAGGAAGATGTAAAAAAAGGAAAGGATCTGGTTTCTCATATATGCAGAATCCTGCCTAAGCCTGCAGTCCGTGAAAAATGGAAAGATGCAATTTCAAAAGACACAGTTTATCCAGCCTTGGTTTTACAGTGCATAGCCAGAGGATGGCCACAAGAAGAAATGTGCTCTTCAATCAAGGCAGTTCGTGCCTGGCAGAAATGCACTAGATTTTCAGCTTGCACGTCACGTCATTCTCATTCGAGACAGTACATTACCCTGCAGGTAGCCAAACAAATGTGACTTCTGTTTTGATATACGCCACACATCAACAACTTCTCCTGAAGGGTCATCATTTATTTTCTGATGTACAGTGTAGAACATGATTAACTTCTGGAGAAGGTGGCATTTCCATGAAACAGCCTCCTGGACCACCATACCATATGGAGGATGTACAAGAGGCTTGGTGGCCAAGGAAGAGCTCCACTGAAATAAGCAGACCACGTCCACCCCACAGGGACAGGTTAAAGGCATCTCGGTCATGGCTGTCCCAGGGCTGGACACTGAATCTCAGTCATGTGTTCAGCAGTGTGATCCCAAGTAATCAGGGTTACACATCTTCTGAAGTGACTGCCCTTTATCTGGAGGTTGCTGTTCCTCAGCTCAGACATGATAACCGATGGGTGAAACTCTTGGCCCGGCGCAAATGCAGAGCAAATAGATTCATCTAAAGATTTCTGAAAAGAGCTCAAAAATAACTTAGGTGAGTCAAACTTCTCTGCCTCTGCACAGGCCTAGCAGCATGTAACACCTCCAGCTGTCACATTTTTGCTGAGTGGCAATAACTTCCAAGTGCCCACTGTCCTGTCTGCTACAAGGATGTGGTTACATCCTTGCTTAAAACTCCCAACTTGTAAAACCCAGCTGTGGATCTGTTAAGCATCTAAGAACATAACTGCTTACAGAGCAGAAAACGGAGCACTTGCTTGACTTCCTGGGAAGCTGCAATGTTTTGGTAGGGCTGACAGCCCTAAATATTGCAAAAGTCATGATCTGGACCACTGAGATCATGAGGTGGGCTAAAATGTAAAGATTTAAAAAAATATATAAAGTGTTGGCTCAGTTTTCCTTGTCGTTGTCACGTATAGGTGTTTGCTTGCAGCATCACATTGCTGACTCTCCTTGTAGTGCCCCAGCAGTGCTCTGCTATGGCCAGGGCCGTTGCAGCATAAGAGGTGAAGGAAATAGACGGGACCACCCTCAGCTGCTGTGGGGTCATTCTGAAGAGATGATTGCACACAAGAGATGGGTGAAAGCCACAGTTTGTTCTGAAAAAGGTCTGCCTAAGCAAGGAAGAGCTCAGCTGAGCAGGAGTGTCCAGCATCCGCACCTACCTGAGGCAGCAGCACAGCTCAGATTTACACCTTAGCAGTCTATTTGCTCATGCTCCTCTGGGAATTACCTACAAACATTTTTGTACAACCAAGGAATAAATCAGTTACTCTCGAGCAGCAGAAGAAATCCAGCCAAATGTTGAACCTACTCTTACCTCTGCCATCCAGTGCAAGATATTCCCCCTGGACACTTGACTTGTGATGTTAAAGCCCTCAAGGATGTTCAGTGCTGTGATCAGTGCAGGACCTGCATGTGGAGGTGGGGGACTGAAAACCAGATGACCTGTGCAGGGAAGAAGAGAGGAGTGAAGCTGCGATTGTCAGATACTGTCTGGTTATAATACTTTGCCACAAGCTAGCGTCCTTGAGGACAGGGTTTGAGAGGAAACAACATGATTTGAAAAGGATTTCCCCAAACATTCCTGTTTTGGGAATCTTTCCCAAATCTTTCTGTTTCTTTATGATGGATGAAGGAAGCCCAAATAGGGATGCTTTTTTTACATCTGACATTCAGTTCTTGTTGGTTGGATGGTTGGTTTCTGGACTGCAGTATGGAAGAACAGAGATAAAATGGGTTTGCAACAATTACAGCTATAAGGAGAGTAAATACAGGGATTTCTAGAAAAGAATGACTTTCTAGAAAGTTCTTGCATAAAGCAAGTTTTCCTCCCTTGTAGATCACCTTTGGGAACTGTCTTCAGAGGCAGGCGCTAGCCTATGGTCCGGCTTGTATCTAGACATTGCATCAATAGGTGATCAAGTTGCATCTTTACACTCTAAAATCATCAAAATACTGTCAGTCACTATCAAGGAAAACCCAGGCCCATTTCAGTGCTGAAAACTTCCTGAACTGCCACTGTTGGTAGGCAATAGCAGGAAACTCCCTGGAGGGCTTTTCTGCAGCTTTGAGGGCACAGCTTTGACTTCAACTCTTGTTAAATACGGTCGCCACCTCTTGCCAGGTGAAGCAAACTTTTACCTGGAGTTGCATGGCAGTGGGCCAGGTGTTTACCTCGATAGACTGTGTGGATGGGACTCTCGACCGTGACACTGTAGTTGCTGAAGTCTTCTTCCACCAAGACTCCTCCATAGCTGTGGACCTGCGTAGGAGAGCGAAGCAGAGCACACTGAGAAAGCTGGGTCAAGGCTTTCTGTGTTCCTCATGCTGGCCCAGGCAAACAGACATCACACTGTCAAACAAATACCATTGGGATTCCCGAGCCAAGCGCCAGGTACCTCAGGATGCCCTGAAAAACTCTGCTTTCCTGGCCTTGGTGGCCTGGCTCATCATTCACCACCGCTGGAAGGCTCTGCAGCTCACCTCCATAAGCTCACCCACCCCATGGCTGCTCTGAAGCCATTCTGCCTATCAGTGAGGATGGGGACTGGCACTGCCTCACAGCCGTTTCTCCCCTGGGTGGCAAGCATGGGTATGTTAAAGGTTATGAACCCTTTGAATACTGCCAGGATAAAAGGTATTTATAGATCCAGGAAAGAAGGTACCTGGTTGTAGCAGGTCACCATCACTAGAGATCTTTAGCATATAATTCTCACCCTGTTTTTAATTATTTCAGGTGATAGTGGGTCTGCTGTACCCTTGGTCTTTCTGTAAGACTCTCTTAGAGGTACAATTTACTGGGCTGGGTAATTTTCATGAACACAGTAAAGATGGGTAATTCCCTCCACTGCAGGTCTTCTGTGGTTGAGTCATGATGGACATGAGGTAGGACCATCATAGCTGCACTCTGCTGATCTTAAAATCCCCTGAAGTAGGTAATACTCTCGGTCAGCATACAGGTGCTACTGTGCTCATGAGCCAACTCTTTCCGTCTACCCAGGAGAAGCCCCACAACCTGGCGAGAGGTTCTGCTCCGGTGAACTGCTGCTATGAGTCCTCTGGATTCCCATTCAAAAATGGGCAAGAACAAGTAACCCGTGCATGCTCTGATTTCCAAACTAGTCAGCTAAGTTGGCAAGAAAACTCACTCTCTGGCAGAAATGGATGAATCACTGGAGCAGGAAAGCTAATGTTGTGGGGGGTAGCATGTCAAACCACTCCAAAGCTGCAAAAGCTCTATCCCCTACTTGGGATCCCTGTCCCCTTCCCAAAGCAGTCCCAGAGAACAGGCCAGGTTGCACCCAATGGCTGAGGTGAGCAGGCAGGTCCCTGTGCCAGGAGCTGGCTCCCTGGAGCTAGGCCAGCGGAAAGCCCGGGCGAAGCAGTGGGGAGAGGGGCAGGAGGAGCCTGATGGCACAGAAATGGGAGAAGCCCTGGTCAGCCACACACTGCAGACACCATCTCAAATTCCCCAGAGGGAACATTTTGCACCTGTGCCTTCCCACCAGGGAAAGGAAACAAAGGGTAGTGTGTTTTGTAGCTTTACTTGATCTCACCACATTGATGCCTTCCCTTTGCTGGAACAATAAACACTGTGGGAATCCAGCACTGTGCTCTGCTCTGCAACCAGAGCTGGAGTTCTGCACTTGGTCCTGGAGCTTGCCAGGGTCTTTGGTATTGCAACCCTGGGCCTTGCTCCTCCATAGTGAGTTTGTGCTTCCCTGTGGCAGCCCTCAGGTCAAGGGAACAGGGTGATAAAGCAGGGTTTAGCTGTGGAGACGCACCACAAGCTTGGGACTTTTCCTGTTCCTCATTCTCCACCTCTGCTGTGGTCCAGGTGAACCATAGGAGAAGATCTCCAAACACAGAGCTCGCAAATGTCTAAGGCTTGAGCTGAATGAACCCATTCCAGATTACTGACGACATGTTGAAGGTGCATCACTTGAACCATGGTGACAGGGAAAAATGGTGCCACCAACCACTCTGACTACAGCTACACAGGTATAAAAGTTGCTTTGTTTTTTTTTACCAGAACAATTACTTTGTTTGTTCTTGCTACTTTTCCAGAGTACCTCTAACAGCAGGAGTTAAACTAGGGGTCCCTAAGTGGGACCAAGCCTGTCTGATCCTCTCCTCACAACGATCACAGTTTTATTTTTAAACCATCTTCCTGGAGTCTGTATCTTACAGTCCCATTAACAACAATAATTTGCTTGTCAACAGTGGGGCACCTCTCATTATGGGGAAAATGTCACTAGTACTAACAGCCCAGAGCGGGTCTTGAAATTCAGATTTATTTTTCCTTTGAAAAAACAGTCTATCCTGGTTATAGAGGAAATGGAGGTTTCACTTCTACAGGCTGTGGAAGTGACCTGTTGTCACTTACACCACTGCAGTGACAGGGACAGGAAAGAAAAAGGAGGCTCCACACATTTGTCCCCATCACTGTGCTGAGACTTGGCTATGGCTCATCTCCAGGTTGCCACCTTAAGCAGGTGACGTGGCTGGTGGCACCCCCAGCCTGGGCTGTGCTGTGTGGTCTGGGGCAGACAGGGACAGATAGGGCTCACCTCAGAGATGATCTCCTGGGTCAAGTTTCCACTGTAGAAAGCTGAGACCCCTTCTGCCCCCACCAGCTCCAGGACAGCCGCAAGGTCCAGGCGCCTGACGAACATGCCAGGCAGCAAGGGCTGGCCATCCGGCAGGAAGATCTCCCGAAATTTGTCAGAGTAGTTCAGGTCTTTCAGTTCACTTACGGCTTTGGCTGTGGGCGAGAAGGGGAAGGACATCCAGAAAAGCCAGCGTGCAGGAACGTGCAGGGGACCTGGAGTCACTGTGCGCCTGACGGGGATGTTGGGAGACTTAGAACAGTTTGGGTTAGAAGAGACCTTCAAGATCATCGAGTC